CATTAGGATTTATCATCCCCCATTTTTCAGATGGTGAGACTGAGGCAGAGACGTTAAGTAACACATCAAGGTCACACAGCTAGTCTTGGCGTCTGAGCCCAAGTAAACTGCTCCAGGTGGTTCTGCAAACTGGCTGAGCTTCATGTCTCCCCACAAATAACCTCACTGAGTCTCCCAAACACAGAAGCACAGAGGTGGGTATGATTATCTCCATTTCACATGTGAGACAGATGACAGCACAGCAGTTATGTGATATGCCCAAGGTCACACAGCTGCTGTCAGAGCCTGGATTCAAATCCAGGTTTGGTGACATGGAAGCTGTGCTACTTCAACCATGCTGTGTCTCTTCAGTAAAGCATCAAAATGCAGCCATTCTGGGATCTGTATTAACATCACAGAGCGCACTTTATTCTCTGACACCAACTAAATTGGGTTACACTGCTGTTATCTGACATCTTCCCCTGCTATGGTAGAGCCACTCTCATTGTCAAAGAATAGAGAGTGGCATTTTTTAAAAAAGAAAACTCAGGAACTCAATAGACAAGAAATCCCTAGCAATTATTTCTCTAAGGAGTTAAAAAATATTTTAGGCCGGGTGTGGTGGCTCATGCCTTTAATCCCAGCACTTTGGGAGGCTGAGGTGGGTGAATCATGAGGTCAGGAGATGGAGACCATCCGGGCTAACATGGTGAAACCCCATCTCCACTAAAAAAAATATAAAAAATTAGCCGGGCATGGTGGCGGGCACCTGTAGTCCCAGCTACTTGGGAGGCTGAAGCAGGAGAATGGTGTGAACCTGGAATGCAGAGATTGCAGTGAGCCAAGATCGTGCCACTGCACTCCAGCCTGGGCGACAGAGCGAGACTCTGTCTCAAAAAAAAAAAAAAAAAAAATTTAAATCCATATTAACTCAATGGATTGGATGCAAACTAGCCATGTATACTGGAAGCCACATACCATGAGAGGACTAAAATCTAGACTTAAGCATTCTTACTTTTATTCTGAGATTTCCAAGTGATATGAACCCTTAACAAGATAACAATACCATCTGCTAGCACATTCTCTGCCCCATTATCCTTGTACAACAGCAGAAGGGCCATGGTATATCACCATCATAGAGCCCAGTGTTGCTGTGTAGTTAAAACAAACTTGAGTCTCCCAGTTATGCAGCAATTTGAGGATTAACTTTATGAAATAGAATGGACGGATTTTGCGGAACGTGCCTATTTTGGCTGAGAACTTATCTGCACAATTCTAATATTGAGACCAGGATACAGCTGTTTGTGACTAAGCCCATGCTCACTGCATAAGTACTATCTGAGCATTATTCATAACCAGACATCTGTTTCCTGTTTTCGTTCTTCCCTTTATCATTCTATCCCAATTTCCTTTCACCTGTAGGCCACCTAAGACAACCACAGTGAAGTAAGTCTAATGTTTGACTGTCTCTTCCCTTCCATAACTGTTGTCAGGGTAGTGTAGTCATTCTACTTGGAGGATGGGGGAGGGAACCCAAGGGTCATTCTGAGCTTGGAAGGCTGTTGCCTGTGCAGTCTATCTTTAGGTGACTAACTTCCTCCCTGGTTCCCCATTAAGAACCTTTCCTGTTGAGGTAGTACCAGCCCCTGCAAATGTACAATTGTGAACTGAATCACAAAAGGAAAACCTCCTGCAGCACAAATAAGGCAAGGCAGTAACTTAGCTAGAGCAAAGCCAGTACACTCTGATATGAAAAAAATGGAACCTCTTACACGAATACAGAACACAGGATGTGTTAAAATTTAAGGAAGTTCATTTCTATGCAAATAGATTGAGGTCAAAGTTTTCCTCAGCCCAAGGGAACATCTTTATCATCACTATATTACAACAGACTTTGGAGGTCATTTTACACAGTCCTATTTTACAAAGCTTGTCACTATATTTTACAGTCTAAAAGATGAAGTGATTTGTCTAATGGATTCCATTTTAAATGGCTTAAGGGAGCACAGTTTAAACACCCCACTAATAAATACTCAGAAAATGTGTTGTATGAAAGGAGAGAAGGTGAGCCCTTCCCTTGACACAGAAGAGGCCCTCGGGCCTGATAACACAGAGTTCCCGGCATTTCACTATTTTTTTTTAATCTTCATCTCACTGTATTCTAAGAATTTTTTTTTTTTTTTTTAAATCTCAGCTCACTGCAACCTCCGTCTCCCAAGCTCGATTCTCTCACCTCAACCTCCCAAAGTAGCTGGGATTATAGGCACCTGACACCTCGCCTGCCTAATTTTTTTGTATTTTTAGTAGAGACAGGGTTTCACCATGTTGGCCAGGCTGGTCTTGAACCCCTGACCTCAGGTGATCCACCCTACCTCTGCCTTCCAAAGTGCTGGGATTACAGGCATGAGCCACCATGCCTGGCCAAAAGCACATTCTTTGTACCTTGGCACTTTTCTTAGCAACCTTCTCTGTATCTTATCCTCTCTTTTCCTCCATATTATATTCAAATATGACTTTTAAAACATCTAACATAGGAAGATGGCTTTATTGTTAAAAATGTCTACTAAAAGCAGGCATAGAAAAAAGTGAATGCTTCTTCTCAGATAGTTTCCTGTGCTCTGTCATTGTTACGGGAAAGGGGTCGCGATCCAGACCCCAAGAGGTTCTTGAGTCTTGGGCAAGAATTTGGGGTGAGTCCATAAAGTGAAAGCAAATTTATTAAGAAAGGAGGCTGGGCACAGTGGTTCACGCCTGTAATCCCAGCACTCCGGGAGGCCGAGGTGGGCGGATCACGAGGTCAGGAGATCAAGACCATCCTGGCTAACCTGGTGAAATCCCGTCTCTACTAAAAATACAAAAAATTAGCCAGGCATGGTGGTGGGCGCCTGTAGTCCCAGCTACTCAGGATGCTGAGGCAGGAGAATTGCTTGAAGCTGGGAGGCGGAGATTGCAGTGAGCCAAGTTTGCGCCACTGCACTCCAGCTTGGGCAACAGAACAAGACTCCATCTCAAAAATAGTAATAATAATAAAGGAATAAGAGAGTGGCTACTCCATACGCAGAGTAGCAGCATGGGCCGCTGGTTAGCTGTTTTTATGGTTGCTGATTATATGCTAACCAAGGGGTGGATTATTCATGAGTTTTCTGGGAAAGGGGTGGCCAATTCCCAGAACTGAGGGTTCCTCCCCTTTTTAGACCATATAGGGTAACTTCCTGACATTTCCATGGCATTTGTAAACTGTCATGGCGTAGTGGGAGTATCTTTTAGCATATGCTAATACATTATAATTAGTGTATAAGGAGCAGTGGAGACGACCGGAGGTCACTTTCATCATCTTGGTTTCGGTGGGATTTCGCTGACATCTTCACCACAACCTGTTTTATCAGCAAGGTCTTTGTGACCTGAACCTCGTGCCAACTTCCTATCTCATCCTGTGATTAAGAATGCCTAACCACCTGGGAATGCAGCCTAGTAGGTCTTTTACCCAGCCCCCTATTCAAGATGGAGTCCTGTGGTTCAAATGCCTCTTGACATCATCACTCTTCAAAAATACTTTGTAAATCAAGATTAATAATCAATTTATTGGCTATTATATAACTTACGGAACCTAGCATTCCAGATAGTATAGAATTAAATAATTTTGCACTTTTCCTGTGTTTGTCTAATGTTGAGTCAATTAACTTCAGAGCTGAGGTTTCAATACCAACACAGGTGACAATTCCCTTGCTGGTTGTCTAATACATCTACTCTCTTATGCACCCATCATGATAGAATTTTTCAGTTCAGCTCAGAAGTGGCCAAAGGCTTCAACACCCTTCAAAATAATGGGACTGCATTCCAAGTTCTGGCCAATGGTACATAAACAAGGGTTTTGTGTGGAACCTTCCTTAGGAAAAGCAGGCTTGCTCTTTGCCCACTTGGATCATGAAAATGAGCATCTCACTCTAGGAATGAGGGTGCCTCGGGTTGAGACTTTGTGGAGCAGATCCAGCAACCAGCCCTCAACTGATCGCAGCTCTTCATGCGCGAGAGAAAAATAAACTATCTCATTCAAGCACTGTGATTTGGGGATCCTATCAATGGAGCCAAAATGAGCACTAACACACCAACTCCATCACTTGGGTATCTGAAAAATAAAAGCATGTTTCAAAACTTTTGCCTATCATTTGAAATTCACAGGATTTCATGTTATCATAGAAGATAGTCGGCTGGGCATGGTGGCTCACGCCTGAAATCCTAGCACTTTGGGAGGCCAAGGCAGATCACCTGAGGTGAAGAGTTCCAGACCAGCCTAGCCAACATGGTGAAACACCATCTCTACTAAAAATACAAAACATTAGCCAGGTGTGGTGGCAGGCACCTGTAATCCCAGCTACTCGGGAGGCTGAGGCAGGAGAATCGTTTGAACCCAGGAGGCGGAGGTTGCAAGGTTGCAGTGAGCTGAGATCACGTCATTGCACTCCAGCCTGGGCAAAAAGAACAAAACTCTGTTCCCCACCCCCGCAACAACAACAAAAAAAAGAAGATGGTCCCAGTCATGATTCTTTACAAGTCCTAGGTTCTAAGGAATGGTTTAATAACAAGTCAATTATATAATCCTGGATAAAAATTAAAAGAGGCCGGGCACTGTGGCTCACGCCTGTAATCCCAGCACTTTGCAAGGCCAAGGCGGGTATATCACCTGAGGTCAGGAGTTCGAGACCAGCCTGGCCAACATGGCAAAACCCTGTCTCTACTAAAAATACAAAAATTAGCTGGGCGTGGTGGCACATGCCCATAATCCCAGCTACTCAAGAGACTGAGGCAGGAGAATCGCTTGAACTCAGAAGGCAGAGGTTGCAGTGAGCTGAGAGATCATGCCATTACTCTCCAGCCTGGGCAACAAAAGAGAAACTCCGTTTCAAAAAAAAAAAAAAAAAAAAATTGAAAGATAAACTTGGTACATAAATTATTTTGTAAATTGAATCTCAGAACAGCAATATATGAGATCGATAAGCAAACAAAACAAATATTGCATTGTCGAGGTTTTCAAATTTTTTTATTTTTAAGAAAATAGCCAGGAATCATTTTATTCCTACTGTGGAAGAATTATGAATTATTCAAGATCAATCTTTAATTGCTCAATGTAAATTAAGGTTTCATATGATTTGAATATAAAGTATCTTTCAGAAGCTAAGTAATCTAACTAACTGCTCCCTTGAGCCCAGGAGGCAGAGGTTGCAGTAAGCCAAGATTGCATCACTGCACTCCATCCTGGGCAACAGAGGGAGACTGCCTCAAAAAAAAAAAAAAAAAAACTTACTAACTGCTGAATCTTTTACATTAACTAAGCTTAATTCTCACGTTATCAATTGTTTGTATTGCTCATATAATATTTGAATCATTTTTACAAAATCATTTGTAATGACTGAAAGATACAGGTTTCCAATGTCTGAGATAAGTAAAAGTATATCAATTAATATTAGAACACCTACCTTCTTCAAGAAAAATATGTTAATGGCTTACTCATGGTTGTCTACTTTTGACAGACAGGACTCGCTGGATTTCCTAGGCCGACTAGGAATTCCTAAGCCTAGCTGGGGAAGGTGACGGCACCTACCTTTAAACATGAGGCTTGTAACTCAGCTCACACCTGACCAATCAGGTAGCAAAGAGGGCTCACTAAAATACAAATTAGGTTAAGAGCGGGAGGTAAAGAAATAGTCTAATCATGTATCGCCTGAGAGTACACGGGGAGGGACAGTGATCGGGATATAAATCCAGGCATTCGAGCAGCAAGTGGGCAACTCCCTTTGGGTCACCTCCCATTACATGGGAGCTCTGTTTTCATTCTGTTAAGTCTTGCAACTGCACACTCTTCTGGTCTGTGTTTGTTACAGCTCGAGCTGAGCTTTTGCTCGCTTCCACCACTGCTGTTCACCGCCATCCCAGACCCGCCATTGACTTCCACCCCTCTGGATCTGGCAGGGTGTCAACTGTGCTTCTGATCCAGCGAGGTGCCCACTGCTGCTCCCAATCGGGCTAGAGGCTCACCATTGTTCCTGCATGGCTAAGGGCCCAGGGTTCATCCTAATCGAGCTGAACATTAGTCACTGGGTTCCACAGTTCTCTTCCATGACCCATGGCTTCTAATAGAGCTGTAACACTCACCACATGGCCTAAGGTTCCATTCCTTGGAATCTGTGAGGCCAAGAACCCCAGGTTGGAGAAGGCTTGCTACCATCTTGGGAGTGGCCGCCACCATCTTGGGAGCTCTAAGAACAAAGGCCTGCCTGTAACACTTTTACCACAGAATTGAGAAAACAAATTGACTTGTAATTTTTGTTTCTCTCACATTCAATGTCGCTGGCAAACATACTGCCTACCAGCTACTCCTCAGCCTTACACCTTAAGCATACGTCCTGATCTTACTCTTCGAGTTGAGGGTTTACCATCTTGACACTGGGTAGCCATGTTTTCCCTGAGGCTACAGATTAAGAGAGGGGTCACCAACTCATTCCATATGCTCTCATCTTGGCAGAGCAGGCCTACAGGTCAATCCCATTCCACTTGTGCATTCATTCTGGTCTGTAACAGTAACAAGGTCTGGATGAAAATATCATTGAAAAAACAAACTAGAAATATTCTAAAATAGTTGTCATTTTCCTTCCATAGACAATCAGGGAGTTTATATCTTTGAGACAGAACCCACACAGACTCACTTTCTCTATGCAGTCCTTGTTTCCTGCCATTTTAATTTTAGATGAAAATGAGACATATGAGTACACTGAAAAGTAACACCACCATCTGGAAAGTTATACATAAGGAAATGCAATGAGGAATATAGATCCTTCAGCCCCTATTCCAGTACTCTTTAACAACTCTGCTTTCTTGGGCAGGAATTCATGAGCTATAATACTTAAGAAGATTTTCATCTGTAGGTTTTAGGATTTTCTTATCGGTCATATTCACCACCCATCCTGGAGCAAGACCAAAGAAAATCTGTCTTGGATCCTTCCTAGTACAGAGCATTTTGAAGAGTTCATCTTTAGTGATATCAGGTAAGATATAACCATACTTCCTGGCAAGTTCAAGTCGTGCTTCAGGAAATTTGGCAGGATCCGCCAGGTACCCACGATTCTTTGCATCAGTGTAATATGGCACCAGTTCTTCTGGTGGAAGCATTCTTTTTGGAATGGGTTGTCCACGAAGAAAGAATGGAACAGGTTTGCATACAATGTCTAAAAGAAAATTTAAATTTAAAAAGTGAGATGCAAATATTAGCTCATAGACATACCTAGAGATGTAGTTCCAACATAGAGATGTAACTCTGTAACAAAGAGATGTTACAGAGTTGCTCCTGATTATTAATTTTTATTTATTTATTTTTGAGATGGAGTTTCACTCTTGTTGCCCAGGCTGGAGTGCAATGGCACCATCTCGGCTCACTGCAACCTCTGCCTCACGGGTTCAAGCAATTCCCCTGCCTCAGTCTCCCGAGTAGCTGGGATTACAGGCATGTGCCACCATGCCCGGATCATTTCGTATTTTTACTAAAGACAGGTTTCACCATGTTGTCAGGCTGGTCTAGGACTCTTGACCTCAGGTGATCCACTCACCTGGGCCTCCCAAAGTGCTGGGATTATAGGCATGATCAACCATACCCAGCCAATTATTAATTTTTAAATATTAGTGAGATGAGAACTTAATTCCAAGAACTTTTTATTATATATGCTTGTCTTACGTAAGCAAATGGAAATGCTTCACTTTCAATAGTTTGCATCTTGAGAGGCAAAGTTACTCCCCGGGGTTACCAATGATTAATGAATTTCTAAACGTTGGTAACATTGTACTTAAGCCCCATGTTAAAACACAAAACATTTTTATGGCATACTGTCTACAGTGTGTTAGAGCAAGATGGAGTCCTGCTGCCCATACCACTAGTAGGAAGTCCTAAAACAGAAAACTGAGGTGTCCAAATGGCAAGTCAAAGAACCATGAAGACTCCAAAAATGCTTATATGGATCTTGTTTAGAAATTAAGAAGAAGTATTAAGATTTCTGGAAAACCAATTTTATTAAAATGAGTTATCTTAACCAAAGAGCATGCGAAGAAATTTTATGTGAAACGAACCAAGGAATGCTGCATAGCCCCAGTTCTGTTTTTAAACATTTTAAAGTACCCGAGACATGTGTTCTGAAAGTGAGAGTGAAAAAAAGGCCTACACACAAGATATCACAGATGCCAGAGGGCCTTTAGATAGCTTAGAAAACAATTACACAAATAGATAACTGTACGAATACAACTGACACTCTACTCATCATGTGTTAGCAATGCACCCTTAACCAAAGCCGGTTACAGAAATCAAAACAGTACTAAGGAAATTACTGAGAACCTTAAAATAATAGTACATATGTCACAGAGCACGTACAAAGTTTACCTGATTCAATCTATGGAATCCATTCACACATGTATAGTGTTTGGTATACAATGAGACAGATGTTAACTATCACCCACCAAGGCATAAGCTCTGTGAAGGGAGGGACTTTTTTTTTTTTTTTTGAGACAAAGTCTCGCTCTGTCACCCAGGCTAGAGTATTGTGGCATGATCTCGGCTCACTGCACCCTCCACCTCCCAGACTCAAGTGATTCTCCTGCCTCAACCTCCCAAGTAGCTGGGATTACAGGCATGCACCACCATGCTCAGCTAATTTTTGTATTTTTAGTAGAGATGGGGTTTTGCCATGTTGGCCAGGCTGATCTCGAACTCCTGAACTCAGGTGATTCACCTGACTTGGCCTCCCAAAGTGCTGGGATTACAGGCGTGAGGCCACTGCGCCCAGCCAGGAAGGGACTTTCAACTCTTGCACTACTGTCTCTCCATCAGCTGGAACAGTATCTAGCAAACACTAGCCACTGGCTGTTTGCTGAATGCAAGAATATGACAGCTGTTTTATACAGCTCTAATATACTGCATTACCTAGCAGTATCTCCAAACAGGGCAAATGAGAAATGGCGATTAAGAGGTACTCCAGGCAGGCCACTCACAGAAATGAGAACTGGAAGCTATTTGCTAAGGGTCAAGACCAAGAATTAGAAAGCAGAGCCACCTAAAGCCAGGTCATGCTCTGGATAAACCATCCTACCTATTTCACCTACAACAGAGGGTAAGTAAATACTGCGTGTCCTTGAATCATCAAGAAAGTATCTTCAAAATATATTTAAGAAAGAAGTTTGTAGGCCAGGCACAATGGCTCATGCTTTTAATGCCAGCACCTTGGGAGGTAGGAGAATTGCTTGAGCCCACAAGTTCAAGACCAGCCTGAGCAACATAGTGAGACCTCATCTCTACAAAACATAAAACAAAAAAAAATTAGCGTGGTGACATGCACCTGTAGTCCCAGTTACTCAGGGAGCCTAGGTGGGAGGATTTGAGCCCAGGAGTTTGAGGTTGCAGTGAGTGGAACTGCACTCTAGCCTGAGAGAGCAAGACCATCTCAAACGAAAAGAGAAAAAAAAAATTTCTGGCCTGGCATGGTGATTGACACCCATAATCCCACCACTTTGGGAGGCTGAGGCAGAAGGATCACTTGAAACCAGGAGTTTGAGACCAGCATGGGCAACACAGTGAGACCCCCATCTTTATAAAAATCAAATTAGCCAGGCATGGTGGCACACACCTGTAGTCCCAGCTACTCATGAGGCTGAGGTGGGAGGATCACTTGAGCCCAGGAGTTGGAGGTTGCAGTCAGTCTTGATCACACCACTACATTCCAGCCTGGGTGACAGAGTGAGACCATGGTGCAAAAAAAATTAAAAATTTTCTATAACTTGGAAAACTAAAGTACAACGAAGTAAATTATTCAGAGCCAAAATTACTAAGTGATAAACCTGTGATTGGATTTGTTTTATTACTTTTTTAACAAAAAGCTCCTGGGACAACCCGCAGAGCTGCTGGAGAGAGCCACGCACAAGAGCATCAAGGCTGAGGGTGCCTCAGAAGATGCCAGCTCAGGGTGGCGGAGGGCATATGGCTAGAGAACGAACGCCACCACCACATTCTGTGGTAACAATGACTGAAAAACACACTAACGCAAAGTCCTTCCAAAATGTCTGTGACTCTTTTAAAGAAAAATACTGGTTTTCATATCTGAGGCAGCTCACCCTAAAAACTGAGTGACGGACCAAAATAAGAAAAGATGCTCATCTATAATAAACAAGAGGGAAAATGGAATCACCACATTGGCTAATTTTTTTTTTTCTTTTGAGACAGTCTCACTCTGTCACCCAGCCTGGAGTGTAGTGGCGCAATCTCAGCCCACTACAACCTCTGCTCCCAGGTTCAAGGGATTCTCCTGCCTTAGCTTCCCGAGTGGCTGGGATTCCATGCGCCCGCCACCACACCCCACTAATTTTTGTATGTTTAGTAGAGATGGGGTTTCACCATGTTGGCCAGGCTGGTCTACAACTCCTGACTTCATGTGATCCACCCACCTCGGCCTCCCAAAGTGCTGGGATTACAGGCATGAGCCACTGCGCCCAGTCTTTGATGAATATTTTTAAGAAGCTTTCAATTATGGGAAAAAGGAAATGGTAGTTATTTGTTTCAAACTCTACATACAGACAACACAAATCCTTCCCTTTTTCCTTTTTATATATTAATTTTCAAGGAATTTTCTTCTAATCATGCAATTTGGCCAGGAAATGTTTAACTCCCATTTGAATGTAAAAGCACCAAAGAATCCTTTGTAAAGCATTTACAAAGTCAATTGTAAAGTCAACAAGTTACATTTGGTTGTCATCTCTGCAACTTGAAAAATCCAATTAATTTATTCAACAAAATTTAAGTAAGCCTCTTCTAGATACCAGGCATCGCTCTATGTGCAGGAGATACAGCAGGTAGCAAAAGGTCTCCATCATCTTGAGAGATGGGAAAGAAAGAATGAACGGGGAGAGAGAGAAATGAACTTATACTTTGTCAGCTGGTGATAGCCGCCAGGGTCAAACACAATGCAGGGCAAGAGGACAGGATGTGCCTGTGCATGTGTGTGTGTGCATGTGCACACCATGCATGTGCATGTGTGTACATATGCTCTTTTTAGTACAGTTGAGAAAGATCTCCTAATAAGCAGAGACCTGGAACAATGGGGCCCAAAGCCATGAATATTCCAGGTGGGGGAAGCTCCAGGCAGGGGGAACAGCAAAGACCGAGGCTGAAAGTACATAGTACACAGGGCTCAGAGTGTGGAGGAAATACAAAGCAGGCGGCCAGTAAGGGAACGGAGGGAGCAGGGGAACACCAGGAGGGACAAGAGCTGGTGCAGATCACAGCCAGCCTTGTAGAAGCAGAGTGGACACCACTGGAGGTTTTGTGCAAAGGAGTGATAGTCCATGCTTTAAAAGGAATCTCGTGCCACATCACTCCACTGCAGATGGAAGCAACAACAGAGAGGCCACCTGAAGGCCCACAGTCATCCAGGCAAGAGGACAGTGGTTAGGACAGACTGGCAGTAGCTGGAGAGGTGGTCAAATGTGGATAGTTTGAAGAAACAACTCAAAAGATTTATTAGGGCATAAAAGAAAAAGTTCAGGACTCCAAATTTTGGATGGACTTGTCATTTACTTACATAGGGAAGACTACAAGATGAGCCAGGCTGAGGTAAAAGAGAAAAGAGGGGCTGGGTGTGGTGGCTCACACCTGTAATCCCAGCACTTTGGGAGGCTGAGAAGGGCAGATCACTTGAGGTCAAGAGTTTGAGACCAGCTTTGACAACATGGTGAAACTTGTCTCTACCCAAAATATAAAAATTAGCTGGGTGTGGTGGCGGGCACCTGTAACCCCAACTACTCCGGTGGCTGAGACAGGAGAATCGCTTGAACCTGGGAGGCGGAGATTGCAGTGAGCAGAGATCGCGCCACTGCACTGCAGCCTGGGCGACAGAGCAAGACTCTGTCTTAAAAAAAGAGAGAAAAAAAGAGACATTTCAGACATACTACATTTGAGGTACCTGCTAGACATTCAAGAGAATTTGCCAGGCAGGCAGATGCAGTTCTACAGTTCAGGGGAGGGGCTGAGAGCCTTTTTTGCCCTTGGTATTTGTGTCAGCAACATGCTGTGTTCTTTAAATCATAATAATCCATATGGTAGATGTAGATCAAATACTACATCCAAACTACTACCAACATTTGCCATTCACTAAGTAATTTAAAAGTAGTAGCCAACATAAGACAAAGAGCAAAGAAGAAAATGACCATGGAACAAGCTTACCCAGACTTCTTGGATCATAGAAGGCTGTAGTAACAACACCACCATTTTTTTCAATGGCAGCAATAGCCAGTTCTGAAGCCAACTGTACTTCAATATTAACTTTTGCCTTAAAGGTGTCAGCACCCTGAAATATGTCAAAACAGTCTGTTGGTAAACAGCTTGGCTAAAAGTAAATTAATTATGTCAAGCTTCCTTTTTAAACAGTATTTTTCCCTCCAAAGTGCCTATAATGTAACAGTACAGTTAGCCCTCCATATCTGTGGGTTCCACATCTGTGAGTCAACCAACTTGGATGGATAATTTTTGGAAAAAAAGTAATAATAAAAAATAAGGCTGGGCGCAGTAGTTCACACCTGTAATCCCAGCACTTTGGGTGGCCAAGGTGGGTGGATCACCTGAGGTCAGGAGTTTGAGACCAGCCTGCCCAACATGGAGAAACCCCATCTCTACTAAAAATACAAAAAATTAGCTGGCTATGGTGCCGCGCACCTGTAGTCCCAGCTACTCATGAGGCTGAGGCAGGAGAATCGCCTGAACCCAGCCAGGGGGAGGTTGCAGTGAGCCGAGATCACACCATTGCACTCCAGCCTGGGCTATAAGAGTGAAACTCTGTCTCAAATAAAATTAAAAATAAAATAAGGCCAGGTGCAGTGGCTCATGCCTGTAATCCCAGCACTTTGGGAGGCCAAGGCAGGAAGATCACCTGAGGTCAGGAGTTCAAGACCAGCCTGGGCAACATGGTGAAACCCCGTCTCTATTAAAATACAAAAAGTAGCTGGGCATGATGGCGGGCACCAGTAATCCCAGCTACTTCGAGGCTGAGGCAGGAGAATCACTCGAACCTAGGAGGAGAATCACTTGAACCCGGGAGGTAGAGGCTGCAATGAGCTGAGATCGCACCACTGCACTCCAGTCTGGGTGACAGAGCAAGACTCCATCTCAAAAAAAAAAAATAGTAATAATAATACAACAATAAGAAAAGAATTCTTTTTTAAATATAGTATAACTATTTATATAGTATTTACATTACTTTCAATGGCAAAAGACACAATTACTTGTGCACCAACCTAATATTAGGTATTATAGGTAATCTAGAGACGATTTAAAGTATATGGGAGGATGTGGCAGGTTATATGCAAATACTAGGCCATCTTAGAGACTTGATTATCTGGATTGTAAGAGGAGGTGGTCCTGGAACCAATCCTAAGGGATGACTATAATTCCTATTTTAAATATCTCTGCTTTGAGGTCCTATCACTTTTTTCTTTAACATTTTATTTAGGCTACCTTGTTTTACCAATTTTCAATCCATGTAGGTAAGACTGACTATATTTCCATTTTATGTACACCTACTAAGCATTCATTCCTGGTACTTCATTAATAGCAGGCTGCTTAATCCTCATAACAACCTTATGATAGGATTATTGCTGTCTCAACTTCATAGATGGAAATACCAAGGCACAGAGAAGTTACGTAATATGTCCAAGGTCACAATGCAAGGATTCTAATCCAGGGAGTCTAGTCACAGCATCTGTATTTTTAACCACAACATTATGCTGTCATAGATAAAAACTAATCTTCCTTATCCCTAAGTAAGTCAGAGGCCAGCAGGAGGTTAAACAGGGGAACATGCAGGCTGGAGCAGATGGAAGAACAGAATATCTGACAAAATCGACAAAATCTGAGCTTTGGAGAAGTTGGCCTCACTAGGGCAAAAAAGAGAAGACAACAGAAATTTCACTTTGCATTCAATATTGACTTTATTATAGCCTCTAAGCTGGGGGAAAACAAAACAAAACAAAACAAAAAAAACACCTCTCCAATTTTTCCTAGAATAGTCAACACTAGAATGTAGTTCTAGGCCGGGTGCAGTGACTCATGCCTATAATCATAGTACTTTGGGAGGCCAAGGAGGGCAGATTACTTGATGTCAGGAGTTTGAAACCAGCCTGGCCAACATGGTAAAACCTCATCTCTACTAAAAAATATAAAAATTAGCCGGGCATGGTGGCACGTGCCAGTAATCCCAGCTACTTGGGAGGCTGAGGCAGGAGAATGGCTTAAACCCAAGGTGGAGGTGAAGGTTGCAGTGAGTCCAGATCGCGCCATTGCACTGCAGCGTGGGCAACAGAGCAAGACTCCATCTCAAAAAATAAAAATAAAAAAGAAGGAAAAAAAAAAAACGTAGTTCTGAACTCCGAAAAGTTAAATTTTTGGTCACAGTTAGCATGTGCTATATTTTTCTCTAATTTCAAAGCAGATTCTGATAAAAACAAAAAGATGGTAGCATTACCACTCTACAGCAATAGAAAGTTTTCATGAAGCTGAAACAAACTGGCTCCCAGTTTAGCTCCTTCTATTAATGACTAATTTTTCATGTATTTCAAATATATTCCATAAATTCTAAGATGCATTTTCACACTTTTTTTATATCTAATACTGGTGTGTGTTTAAATCAACAGTACCTTTGATTCAATAAAACAGGGTCTTGCTGTATCATTTGTGATTTTTAAGCAATCCATAGCTTGCTTAACCATCTCCCTATTTTGGGGCACTGGTGTCAGGTCCAGTATTTTCAGTAGTATAAGTGGCATTTTTAGGACTGTCTTTATATTAGGTCTCTTTCATTTTGCTTTTCCTCGAGAACATATATTTCCAAATTGATAATTTTGTGCTAAAGGATCAAAACTGTCTTATTATTCACTATTTACTGCAAATCTGAAATCACAGAAGTCAGTCAGTTAACAGAGCTATAAATGATGTGTAATTGCACTTACTCAACCAGTGCCCTGGGGTAGTTTTCACGGTTATTTTTGCTAATCTAATAGACAACACCTAAGGATGTTGGGATGTGCAGTTTAAGGGCTGATGAGGTCATGGATTTCCATATGTTAAGTTACATGTGTATTTCCTTATACACACCCAGGGTAGAATACTGAGGCTTAATCTTGTATTTGGTATTCTCTTTTCAAATTACTTTATTTGGAAAGTTTTTATCCATACAGTTCACTTTTTCAAAGGAATCTGAAAGGTTTTTTCATAAACATATGCTTCCCTCTAGTGGACACTAACTTACCTATACAACTGTATTATTGGCAAACGGTAGTTGATTAACAATGTCCAAAAAATTTGGCCGACGGTGGATCACGTCTGTAATCCAGCACTTTTGGAGGCCGAGGCAGGCGGATCACCTGAGGTTAGGAGTTCAAGACCAGCCTGACCAACATAGTGAACCCCCGTCTCTGCTAAAAATACAAAATTAGCCTGGCTTGGTGGCGCATGCCTGTAATTCCAGCTACTTGGAAGGCTGAGACAAGAGAATCGCTTGAACCTGGGAGGTGGAGATCGCAGTGAATCAAGATCATGCCATTGCACTCCAGCCTGGGTGACAGAGTGAGACTACGTCTCCAGGAAAAAAAAAAAAAAAAAGAGGCAGAAAATTAGCTGGGCCTGGTGGCAGGTGCCTGTAATCCCAGCTACTTGGGAAGCTAAGGCAGGAGAATTGCTTGAACTCAGGAGACAGAGGTTGCAGTGAGCTGAAATGACATCACTGCACTCCAGCCTGGGCCACAGAGTGAGATACCAAAAAAAGAAAGAAGAAAGTAAAGCAATGAATCAAAGCACCTGCCCTCAAGGGAGCTTATATTCTAGTGAGGAAGACAATGAAAACAAATGCATAACTTGGTAATAAATGTCAAGTGTTCATATTTATTCAAAGAAAAACACTTTGGGCAGAGTAAAGGAAACAGTGTGATTCCTGAAGCAGTGCAAATGCTCTTTTAAAAAGCCTCTCAAAAAAGACCTTCCTGGCTGGGCGGGGTGGCTCACACCTGTAATCCCAGCACTTTGGGAAGCTGAGGTGGATCACCTGAGGCAGATCACCTGAGGTCAGGAGTTCGAGAACAGCCTGGCCAACATAGCAAAACCCCATCTCTACCAAAAATAAATTAGCCAGACGTGGTGGCACGTGCCTGTAGTCACACCTACTCAGGAAGCTGAGGCACGAGAATAGCTTGAACCTGAGCAGCAGAGGTTGGCAGTGAGCTGAGATTGTGCCATTGTACTCCAGCCTGGGAGACAGAGTGAGATTCCGTCTCTATTTAAAAAAACAAAAGATCTTCCTGATATGTTGACATTCGAGCAGAGAACGAAAAGAAGTAAGGGGGCACCAAGCACGGTGGCTCACGCCTGTAATCCCAGAAGTATGGGAGGCAGAAGTGGGTGGATCACGAGGTCAGGAGTTCAAGAAGGCCTGGCCAATATAGCAAAACTCCATCTCTACTAAAAACATAAAAAATTAGCCAGGTGTGGTGGCACGTGCCTGTAGTCCCAGCTACTCAGGAGGCTGAGGCAGGAGAATCTCTTGAACCCGGGAGGCAGAGGTTGCAGAGAGCTGAGATTGTACCACTGCACTCCAGCCTAGGCAACAGAGCCAGACTCCATCTCAAAAAAAAAAAAAGGGGGGGGAGAGGCAAGCTTTACAGATACGCAGAGGAGCATTCCAGGACCAAGGGACAGAGCCCTGCCATGATAGCATGACAGCTTTCCAAAACCACAACGATCACCACTACATAAGGGTTATAAACACAAATGGGATAAAAATAAAGGGGGTAGAGTATTGATTATCTGAAAATCAAAAATATCCCTCTACAGGCCAGGTGTGGTGGCTCACGCCTGTAATTCCAGCATTTTGGGAGGCCGAGGTGAGCAGATCAGTTGAGGTCAGCAGTTCAAGATCAGCCTGGCCAACATATTGAGACCCTGTCTCTACTAAAAATAAATAAAATTAGCTGGGCGTGGTGGTGGGTGCCTGTAATCCCAGCTACTCAGGAGGCTGAGGCAGGAGAATCACTTGAACCCGTGAGGTGGAGGTTGCAGGAGCCGACACTGCACCACTGCACTCCAGATCCAGCAACAGAGCAAGACTCCGTCTTAAAAAAAAAAAAAAAAAAAAAAAATCCTCCTATATAACACGAAAAGACTTACCTCCTCGACCAGTTGGACACCATAATCCCTTTTAAGTGGCTGGATGCTCACACCTCTCCCATTGACAAGCTGGGTTAAGTCAATTGGTTGAGTAGGATCAACACGACCCAAATCAATCAGATACTGCAGCCTATTGAGACTCAAAGGCTTATACTGGCGTCTGAAACTGTAAAACAAGAACGTAAGAGTTGGAAAACTTTCATCTTCCTGTAACTTCTCCAAATCAACTCAAAGGTTTGTCTTGTATTTTCCTCTACCAATTTTAATTATTTAACTAAATAAAACCCTCTTGAGCATAACACAAACATGCAATATTGCTTGGTTTTGGGTAATGAAACCTGTACCTCCTGTGTTCCACTAAAAACTATTTTCCTCTCTAAGCATTTACTTCACTTATTTACACAAATAAATCTGTGGAAAATTTAACTTACTATGGAGCTCAAAGTAATAATGTAGTTATCATTTATTAGGTGACTACAGTGGGCCAGATTTTTATATATACTGTCTATTATTGCTAATTCTCTTAATAACCATTAGAGCAGGCATTAGAATCTCCATTTTGCAGGTCTGAGTGCAATGTCTGGGCTTTTTTTCCTTTTAATAATCCAGGCAAAATTTCATTACCAAAAAATGGTTCAGGAGAACAGTAGCAAAAGTTTGCTTCAAAGTGAATTTAAAATTTCTACCAAAATTTCTACCAAACTATTTTTTAGGTGCTTTTTAATGGAAATTGGGGACCTGTACTTTTAAAAAGCAAAGCAACCTTACCTATGTCCTTCGTTAAACCCGTATTTTGGGATTCGGATGTAAAATGGAGTCTGGCCTCCCTCAAAGCCCAAGCGGGGCCGGGTTCCTCTTTGCCTTTCTCCTTTATGGCCTCTGCCACATTTTCTACCTCTTCTCCGACCTCTTGGTCGTCTCTCCTACAAGGAAAGAGAATTTTATGAATTTCAGATGCATTTCTAAAAACTGCATTTCAGCTCTTTTTGTTATGCTATTCATTCATCCAACCGACCAGTGCTAGCTAACACTATTGTGTGACAAGCATGTCCTAGTTGTTCAAAGGTCCACACGCTCTGTTAGCATCTTTGCCTCTAAAGACATAGCTAATTCTTGTAACCAAAGTCCAAGCGTGTTTCAAAAGCAAAAAGTAAAGGTTGGGATGGGGATAAGGTTTTTGTAATAGGCTGAAACTGAAAAAAATCCTAGAATTAAATATCCACAACATTTTAGATAGTGAAGAACTTTTTATTTTGAAATTAATTGTAAATATGCAAATTTTATTCATAAACCTGTAATTTTATTTAAAAACTAATTTGTTGAAGAAAATCTTTTCCTTAATTTACTTCCTGTCATTTCACGAAAGCAACGAATTGACTGTTAAAATGACAGTACACTGTCAACTAACAGCTTTTCTAGCTGTATTTAGTGAACTGCAGAAGGGACAGCTGCGATTCAGATCTTTCCAATGAACATAAAGATCCACGGGGAAAGCACTTCATTTTAAACCCAATTTTGAATGACACAATGACTGTAGTTTCTGCGAGTCGGCTTCTCCGCCTAGTATCTTTACGCTTTTAAACATAACCTTATTAAGAACTGGGTGCGGCCAGGCGCAGTGGCTCACGCCTGCAATCCCAGCACTTCGGGAGGCCAAGGCGGGCGGATCACGAGGTCGGGAGTTCAAAACCAGCCTGGCCAACGCGGTGAAACCACCTCTCTACTAACTAAAAATACAAAAATTAGCCGGGCGTGGTGGCGGGCGCCTGTAATCCCAGCTACACGGGAGGCTGAGGCAGAATTGTTTCTGGGCGACAGCGCAAGACTCCGTTTCGGGGGGGAAAAAAAAAAGAACTGGGTGCACGTGGAAAGATTTCCCTCTGGGCAGTAAGGGAGAACAGGCACGAGGCAACCCTACGTTCATCCCAACACCCTCCCAGAAAGGGCAGTTCTCCTAATGACAGGGAGAGAAGGGCCGCTTTCATCGCCCCGGTTCCCAGCGCTTCCCCGCACCGCCACTACCCATTTACCGGTTTCTTGGAGCCGGGATTCGGCTTTAAGTTGGCCAGGCTCACACGCGGCAGGTCCCGGAGTAGGTCCAGGGCCCGGGCCCGACCGCCGTGCAAAGGACCGGCCATAACGCGCAGACCCAAGAACCTTCAAGGTCGCCCTGAGCAGCTCGGAGGCCTAGTGGTCTCGGGGGCTGCTTTACGGCCGTGGTCCCGCCCCCGTCGCGCTGCAGCCGCGCGCGCAAGCTCGGGACTCGGGCACAGGCGTAGGAGTCTGCAAGTTTGTCTCGGTTGTGTTTTTAGTTCTTTGGGGATGTGATCTTATTTTCCGAGATCGTGCTTTGTCCTCGGGGTCCCTTTTAATATTCTGAACGTAAAACCTCTTTCGCCAAACAAGAGCATGCACTAAAAACACTGCGTTAAATAAAGGATCTTTTTTGAGCCAGTGTTTGGCCTTGCCTGTTTGTCTAGGCAGTGTCTTCTCTGAGGTCAATGCAGAATCCAGAGTAAAGCAAAGTGAGCTGTTAATTATTAGCTTTTGAGCTTGCGTAATTATACACCGTGAGGTACAAAAATAATACTCCGAGTGCACCTATCAAAATGCCTGGCTAATACCAATCTTTGAATAAGATTCAAAGTATGAACCGTCATCCGTGTGCATTTGTATTGTTTTGAGTGAATCGCAGTTACTAACCACCTACTACTGTTAATGACTGGCGCCATACCGAATGCCTGGTGTATGCCACACGCTGTATTAAATCAGCCTTACTCGATTTACAGCCATTCTAGAGGTAGATGGTGTTAGTACATTTTACAGTCACAACAGGGAAGGCTAAGCAAGGTCCGATAGCTTGACCAACTTCTTACAACAAGCGAGAGAGTCAGGATTCAAACGTACACTGCTTCCTACTATAAAAGTAGTATTTTTAGAATGTAAAATTGAGTATTGGCATCACAAAATACAAACATTATTAATCGAAAAATACCAGCTCTTCTTTTTTCTTTTAAGTGAGTTTAACATAGAAAAGACTGTTCCTTTCTTTTTCTTTCTTTTAGTAATGGTTTGACATTTCACTTGCTGGGGAGTTTTTTCTGCTAACTCTTACTAGTAATCACAAATAATGAAGGTGAGACAATTTTTGGAGGGCATCTGTCTCTAGGTTTAACTGCGTCTTTTTTAAGTTCCTTTAAATCAAGTGTAAAATAACTACATAAAGAAAAAGTTGTATTCATTCCTTCAAGTACTGTTTATAAGTAAGACACTGAACTTGTTAGAAATACACATGGATTAACTCAAACAGGATTTCCTTCCCAAGTTGTTTGAAATCTAGTAGGTAACAGTTTCCAAAAATGAATTATTATTATTATTATTTTGAGACGGAGTCTCACTCTGTTGCTTAGGCTGTAGTGCAATGGTGCAATCTCGGCTTACTGCAACCTCCGCCTCCCCGGTTCAAGCAATTCTTAGCCAGAGTAGCTGCGATTACAGGCGTTCACCAACACGCCTGGCTAACTTTTTTTGTATTTTTAGTAGATACAGGCTTTCGCCCTGTTGGGCAGGCTAGTCTCCAACTCCTGGCCTCAGGTGATCCGCCTGCTTCGGCCTTCCAAAGTGCTGGGGTTACAGGAGTGAGCCACCGCCCCAGGCCCGTGAGTGTTTTTTAAAAGTTAAACATAAAGTAGGCCTCTTGTAGACGAATTAGCAAAAACAAGAAAATATGAGTTCGTTAAAATTATATGAAGGTAAAGTCCAGACTAGTTAGAAGTGCATAAGAAATAGAATGCGGGGGGCGGGATTGGGGGGTGAAATGGAACCTATTTTCTGCCTTTAGCGATTTTTGGTTTGTTCGTTTGAAATGGAATCTCACTCTGTCGCCCAGGTTGGAGTGCAGTGGCGCCATCTCGGCTCACTGCAACCTCCCCTCCCAGGTTCAAGCGATTCTCCTGCCTCAGCCTCCCCAGTAGCTGAGATTACAGGCGTGCACCACCACGTACAGCTTTTTTAGTTTTGTTGGTTGGTTGGTTGGTTTTTCAGTAGAGACTGGGTTTCACCACGTTGGCCAGGCTTGTCTCAAACTCCTAACCTCAAATGATCCACCTGCTTTGGCCTCCCAAAGTGCTGGGATTACAGGTGTGAGCCACTGAGCCCAGCCTGCCTTTAGTGATTTTTAATTCAGTACTTTTCATTATGTTTTCATTAAACTTTCCTACCTTTGGGAAGAAAATTGCAAAATATAATTGCAAACTGTACCCTAATCTACAGAAAAATGCACAATTATTTTCAATCCCCAAAAAATCATTGTTTGCTTTAAGTAATGAACTTCTTGATTGCTAATGCCAGTAATGTTTTTTATCATGGAAAATTTTTTTATTGAATAAATAAAATGCAAGAAATATGCTGCACTTCTTGGAAGTAGAAGTTGTATGGGTTATATAATGTTATTGGTGGACATCAGTTAATAATAATGGGAATAACAATTGTTGACAGTTAATTGTAGGCTATGTGTTTGTTTATGCCATATCCAACATGTTGATTAAGCACATAAAACTGTCAAAATAATTTGATGAGTTTCGTTTGTGTTGTAAGAATGTAAATTAAGGGTGTGTGGTCAATAAGTCAACAATCTTTACCTTAAGTATATAGTAGTTTTATGTCATCCTCATAATTGCACAGTTCATATATATTACCCACCTACATGCTTGGGATGTGCTAAATCCTGTTTAAATCAAGTTAATGAGAACTTGTAATAAAAACATTAACATCTCGGCCGGGTGCAGTGGCTCATGCCTGTAATTCCAGCACTTTGGGAGGCCAAGGTGGGCGGATCACCAGGTCAGGAGATCAAGACCATCATGACTCACACAGTGAAACCCCGCCTGTACTAAAAATACAAAAAATTAGCCGGGCGTGGTGGCAGGCACCTATAGTCCCAGCTACTCGGGAGGCTGAGGCAGGAGAATGGCGTGAAACCAGGAGGCGGAGCTTGCAGTGAGCCAAGATCTGGCCACTCCTGCCTGGGGGACACGGCGAGCCTCCATCTGAAAAAAAAAAAAAAAAAATTAACATCTCAACAACTATTTAAGGTCCATCCTGATTCCAACCCCAGTTCGTAATAACTGCTGAATCATTACATAATAACAATGAAGCTGGGAGTAGTGGCTCACGCCTGTAATCTCAGTACTTTGGGAGGCTAAGACAGGCAGATCACCTGAGGTCAGGAGTTCAAGACCAGCCTGACCAACATGGAGAAACCCCATCTCTAATAAAAATACAAAATTAGCTGGGAGTGGTGGTGCATGCCTGTAATCCCAGCTACTTGGGAGGCTGAGGCAGGAGAATCGCTTGAACCCTGGAGGTGGAGGCTGTGGTGAGCCAAGATCGCGCCATTGCACTCTAGCCTGGGCCACAAGAGCAAAACTCCATCTGAAAAAAAAAAATGAAATGAACCCTGTAAAGATGATACAATTTGAAGTGCTTTGGAAGACTTCACACTGCCACAAAATCTTCCCCATCTATATATATCAGCACCTGACAATGTGTTAACATAGATTAATTCCTTTGAGTTCATTATTTTTCTAAAAAAAAAAAAAAAAAATTTGGCCAGGCACGGTGGCTCATGCCTGTAATCCCAGCTCTTTGGGAGGCCAAGGGGAGTGGATCACGAGATCTGGAGTTCAAGACCAGCATGACCAACATAGTGAAACCCTGTCTCTACTAAAAATAAAAAATTAGCTGGGCGTGGTGGCACGAGCCTGTAATCCCAGCTACTCAGGAGGCTGAGACAGGAGAATCACTTGAATTCCCAGGAGGCAGAGGTTGCAGTGAGCCAAGATTAGCCTGGGTAATGGAGCAAGACTCTGTCTCAAAAAAAAAAAAAAAAAAAAAATCCAGGATTAGCAGAGAACGGGACTGGGAAATGGAAATAAAAGGGAATAGGCTGGACATGGTGACTTACGCCTGGAATCCCAGTAATCCCAGAAATTTGGGAGGCCCAGGTGGCTGGATCACTTGAGGTCAGGAGTTTAAGACAAGCCTGGCCAATATGGTGAAACCCATCTCTACAAAAAATACAAACATTAGCCAGGCATGGTGGCAAGTGCCTGTAGTCCCAGCTACTCAGGAGGCTGAGGCAGGAGAATCACTAGAACCCGGGAGGCCGAGGTCGCAGTGAGCTGAGATTGCGCCACTGTACTCCAGTCTGGGCAACAGGGCAAGACTCCTCTCAAAAAAAAAAAAGGTGAGCAGAAAACAACTGGAGAAGTAATATTCCTAAGTGAAGGTGGGAGTAAGCCAGAGGCAGGAGAGCAATGAATCCCTTTGATACTGGGAGAAAACTAATATTGAGAGAAGGCTATGAAGAGAGCATGGAAAGGGGCTGGAAATAAATGTCCCGTTGATAAAACTTAACTAATTTTGCCTTGATAAAACTTGGTTCCAACCTAAAGGTCTTTATTCACACCTAAATAGGTTTTAATTTTATTAAAGCATTGTAATGCCTACACATGTTGAAAAAATCAGAGAGTACAAAAGGGCTTATAATGAGAAGTAGTTGTTTCCTGTTCCATTTCTAGTTTCACTCCCATAAGCAATCACTTTTAATGTTGTTTTTCTTTCTTCTAATGATTGCCTCCTTGTTTACAAATTAATAAAATGTCTACTTTACTAATTTTTTTTATCATTTCTTTTTTTTTTTTGAGACGGAGTTTTGCTCTTGTCACCTAGGCTAGAGTCCAATGGCACAATCTTGGCTCACTGCAACCTGCGCCTCCTGGGTTCAAGTGATTCTCCTGCCTCAGCCTCCCAAGTAGCTGGGATTACAGGCACCTGCCACCTTGCCTAGCTCATTTTTGTACTTTTAGTAGAGATGGGGTTTCACCATGTTAGCCAGGCTGGTCTCGAACTCCTAAGCTCAGGTGATCTACCCGCCTTGGCCTCCAAAAGTGCTGGGATTACAGGCGTGAGCCACTGAGCCCGGCTCATTTTTTTTCCTCAAGATGACAAGTCTCGCCCTATCACCCAGGCTGGAGTGCAGTGACCTGATCACAGCTCACTGCAACCTTGAACTCCTGGGCTCAAGTGATCCTCCCACCTCAGCCACCTGAGTAGCTGGAGCTACAGGTATCTGCCACCATGCCCAACTAATTTTTGTATTTTTTGTAGAGACGGTTTTTTGCCATGTTGCCCAAGCTGGTCTTGAATTCCTGCGCTCAAGCAATCCTCCTGCCTTGGCCTCCCAAAGT